TGGCTGGCAATGAGGGGTTGGGGGTGCAGGAGCGTGCTCTGGGCTGGGACCGAGGGGCTCAGAGAGCAGGAGGGGGATCAGGGTTAGGGCAGGGGGTTGGGGCACAGGAGGAGGTCAGGGGTGCAGGCTCTGGGTGGTGCTTACCTCAAGGAGCTCCTGGAAGCAGCAGCATGTCGTCCCCCCCTCCGGCTCCTACACAGAGGTGTGGCCAGGCGGCTCTGCACACTGCCCTATCCACAGGCGCCACCCCTGCAGCTCCCACTGACCACGGTTCCTGGCCAATCGGAGCTGGGGGGGTGGCGCTTGAGGCTGCGGCAGCATGCAGAATCCCCTGGCTGCCCCTACATGTAGGAGCTGGAAGGGGGACGAGCCATGCGGAGCCACGGCATGTGCAGAGCCTGGTAAGCCCTGGACCCCGCTCCCCGTCAGGAGCTCGAGCACCAGATTAAAACATCTGAATCGCTGAATGTGACCCCCGGGCCGTAGTTTGCCCACCCAGGAAAAAAAAGCAAAAGATGTTCTGGATGAGACAAGGGGACAGATTAACCATAGCCATGATATTTTCACTGTCATCGTCTTGAGTTTTATAACTGATGAGAGAAGAACAATTTAGGCACTATAAAAAAGAAAAAGCATTTCCAATCTAGGAAAAGAGAAAATCTAAAACTGAAAACATAATAGTAGTACTGTGTAGCAAATGTTTTATTACATCAGTAATATCATCTAGCATATTGCTATAATACATCCTAGAAAACAAGAAAATTCATATTTTTAACAGAAAACAGGTCTGTAGTATTTTCAGAAGTGGCCAGATTTCATATTACATACTTAATATGGAAAGAAATGGGACACATGCCCCTTGAATACAGAATATTTTCTTTAAAACATACTGTACATCCAACTGATTTAAAATGCAGGCAATTTCAGACTCTCTAATATTTATAATAAGGAATTCAGTCAATTGAATATTTTGTTCCATTTCAAATATGCCAAAGATATTATAAATACTAATAATATTCAACTAGTCTGCTAATTGGTAGCATTTTGAATCCCAAAGAGATGATTTTCATGTCAGATGTTTGCTATAGTATATTAAATGCCATCTGGACAGTAAACAAAATGATGGCAAGCACAATCATTTACCAGCATTTTAAAGCATCCATCACCATGGTGTCTAGAGCTATGTTAAAAATTAAAAGAACTACCCTAAAAGAAGCCCCGGATCTTCACTTCTCAAGTTTTAGGCTGCTTTCCAAAATGAGATCATATCTGGGATTTGCCCTTCTTCCAAAAGTAATGGTGCCAGGATGGCCATTCTTTCCCCTCATTGTTATTGATGGAAAGTTTGCACAAAGATGAGTCTTGCATTTCACCCTGAATCGTAAGGCTAGGATTCATCTCTCTGACACTGGGGAATTCCACAACATCCTGCTCCAACCTCTTGAGATATTCACCCTGAGGCCATTGGGTTGGATCTGGGGAAAGAGGCATTCTATGGTCCTGATCCAACAAAGTACCTAGAGCTAAGTACCTACTGAAGTGCTTTGACGGATGGGGCCTTATGCTAACTAAACCTTAGCCCAATAGGTGCTTTAAAGATGAGGACAAAGGTCTTGGAACTGATTTCAGGATCAAGAAATAGATTTGGCATTAAGTAGAAAGAAAGCCAACAGTATGTGCAGAGCACTGGCCTGATGTGCTCTCATTGATCTCTGTTACTTAAACAGTGGACTGCCATGTGTTAAACTATTTGAAGACGGATCTCTATGGTAAAGAGTCCTCACTAGAGCAGGATGGGTGCAATACATGACTAGCTGAAGATGGAAAATTAATTTCTCACCACTTCTGCTACTTGTGTAGCTACGAGCAGTCTAGTGGGATCAAGACATTATACCACCTTGAGAACCAGAGGTCAGGTGCCTTCAGTTGAATACAAGATTATAATTCCAGACAGTTTTTCAAAGTTTCCTATCAGCATCACCTCCTTCATACACAGATTGAGCATGAGCCATCTGCTTTTTTACCTTGATGCTCATTCGTCTCAGAAAAGCTAGCACACTGCACATGGCTAGTAAGAGACTTATCACAAGGTGCAATAAGCATACCAATAGCATGGATCTGCTAGTGTACACTTTTGGGATGCACAAAGTAGTACATGATTTAAATGAGAAATGAGCAGCAACAATGTAGACAAAACACTGAACACACTAACCTGTTAGCCAATTACTTTAATACATTTCACCTTTTTTGATTCACACATTAATCTGCAGCATTAAAAACTTAAATAATATGTTCTTGATTTTAATTAACGTGTTTCAGGAGTGTCTTTTAGCACCTTTGGTGTTATGCACTGATTAACCCAAAATTCACATGTATTGGAAGCTGGTCCATATTTCATATGGTTTTGTAATAACTAGCAGCAAACACAAAAAGTACACCAACAGAGCTATACATCTCTCCCTCCACAGTATTTTACATCCAGACAGCAAAAGTCTTAAAGTACAACCATGTGGCAGAAAACAAAGAACTTGGCACATAACAGATCATGCTACAGTTTTCTGATCTATCAGAAATACTGTAAACATTAGTATGCCTAGCAGATTTGTGTCTGCCCCCAGATACAGAAATACGTTTGTATTAAGTAGGGAATAGCTTTAACTTGCCAACAGTTGCTTTCTACTATTTTTTCTACAAACATCTGAAATTATTAGACGCTGCAACTGACTTGTATTCAGGCCAACACCTGAATCAGACTCCTCATAAAGTCTGGAATCATAAATCTGTGTTGCATTAACAATAATTTTTTAAAACTGTTTGCATTTTTCTGTGACCTTTTAACCCCATGGCAGTCACACTGATAGTTCCAATGGTTGAACTGGCCATCAGGTTAAGAATTTGTAATTTACATTTATTTAGCCGCACCACTAAATTTACCCAACAAGTTGTCATTTTTCTGTAGTGCCAGGTATGTGCTGGAAACAATAATACAATCATTTGTGAATACAATGACACTAACATTTTCAGCTACTTAAAATTATATGCAGACTTACATTACTCATTTAAATTAGCAACAAAAGTAGTAACCCATATTAGTAACCTTACCAGTCTCCCCTTAAGACCCCTTTTTCCTTGCAGTCCTGGAATGCCCTGGAAAAAAAAGAAAGAAAGAAAGAAAGAAAAGAGAATCTACAATCTCAAAAATCTACAGAATCTAGATTTTTTAAAAGTGATTTTAATTACACATTATTGGCATGCACATATGATTGCAAAAGGCAATCTAAAAATCACCACCACAAAAAGCAGACACTGTACCTATTTCTTGTTATAAGAGAGCAGGGAGAATGGGATGGAGAAATGTAAATTGTGATCTCTTCACTCCAGGCATATTAGTTGAATTCTATTAATGTGTCCTAGAATGTTGAGAAGGGCTTGCTCTGGCTGTCATTAAGGTCAATGGAAAAACTTTCCTTGATTTCAATAGTAGAAAGATTAGGCTCAAAATCAGTTATCAGATTATCATGGGCATTTTTGTCTTAAACGCATACCAGGCAATTCAGAAATGTGATTTATACATGGACTGAAATTACTCTTAGAGGAAACGTTCACTGCTCACTTCAATGACAAGAACAGGCTCCCAATCTCAGAAGTTTTAGATGAAATCCAAGCTTCACTTTACAGCCAATTCAGATTGATTAACATTGGTGCTATTTTGATTTCGTTCACTAGATTCATTCTAATCAGCAGATTTTATTATTTAACAGGATGACATTTGCACACACCCCCAATCAGTTTTGCTGTCAGACAAGCCTTATTTTCCTTTTTAAAAAGATTTACATAAATAATAAAGTTTTCCTTGGTCTCATTCTGGGATATGCTATACTTCAGTGTGTTTCATTATCATAAATGTGTACATATTTAATAAATGGTTCATTAAACCTACTCTTTCTCCTTCAGGTCCTGGCTGTCCTGCCACCCCTGGAGGTCCAATGAAACCCTTAGAACAGAAAAATAATTCTTAAATTTCTTCATTAAAAGGTTGCATCTCAAGAACAAGGCTAGATACAGATTTACCACATATTTATGTACGTATAGTGGTTTGAGATTCTGGGTGAAATCTTGGCTCAGTTGAAGTCAATGGCAAAACTCCCAGTGACTTCAATGTTACCAGGATTTCACCCTCCAAATCCAACTGATGGTGACAATCCCCCACCACTGCAGAGATAACGTACAAATTAACCATACTAGGAAAAAAATTCCCAAATGATATACTATTGCATCAGAAAGTGCTGAACAAAGAAATATTTAAAAATTTCCTTTCAAATTTACAATATTCCTCACCTGTAAATCAAAAAGAAATTCTTGTTTTTGTGAATAAGTTTGAGTGATTTCCACTACAAAGGAATTATTTTGCAAGTTTATCTTGTCACAGCTGGATTGTTTTAATTAAAACGTGACTAAGATGTCTTCTCCCTCCCTGCTTAAATAGAAGGGGAGAATTGTCTATCCCATTAAAAAACTAGTGACACATCATTGTAAGCCTCAGTTTAATTGTAACTGCATCATGCCATGCTTTCTTTCCACGTAGAGAGTGATGCTGTCTGAGGGAACATCTACACTGGAACTGGAAGTTGCAATTTTCAGCTCAAGAGACATCCCACACTAGCTCTGACTGAGCTTGTGTGCCAAAAATAGAAGTGTCGCTGCAGTGGTGCAAGTGGTGGGAGGAACCAGCTGCCGAGAGTACATGCCTAGGATCTCAGACGAGATTATATTTGGGGCAGCTATCCTCTATTATTGCTTGCACCACTGTGGATACATTGCTATTTTTAGCAAAGCTAGTGCAGGTATGTCTCCTCAAGCTGGAAATTACACTTTCCAGCTCCAGTATAGCTATACCCTGAGAAGTAACTTCCTTATGTTGCATCAAAATCTGAAAATCCACAGCTAAATACCACTGTGTTTAATTTTTAAAATGGTACAGTAGAAATAACTGAATTTTCGAACATAAGATCAATAGAGTAGCCAGAGTAGTAACTATTGCGATAGGACACATGCTAACCACTGTTCTCAAAATATCCAATTCACTTCCAGTTAAATGAATAAAAATTAAGTTAAGAAAGTGAAAACATTAAACTGAAGAAATTCTCAAATGAAAATAGCACTTAGGAGTTTTTGAAAATTTTGCCTTCTGTGATTGAATTAGGAAGCAATTCTACTTTTCATCAACATAGTGGAGATCAGCAGAAGCCCCACAAAGTCTAGTTAAATAAAAAAAATCATAATATGAAATACAATGAAAAGTTATAAAGGGCAGGAAATGTTTCTCACTCATAAGAGCTGTTATAATTCTCTGTTGAGCAAAACACAGGTGCCGCTTTCTTCTACTAGACAACGAGAATGTCATTGGTGATTACTCCACTGTTGGGTTTGAATGGGATATATGCAATTCAGAATATAAGGTGACTTGAAGGAAGTCACACTTGTGTCCTTGGTCAGCCCATTTCCTTCAACATGAAACTGGTAAAAGGAGGATTGTATTGGGGGGAAAATAAATTCCACGTACAGGGAGCTATCCTGGGAAAATGTATTTTTTTAAAATTACGCTTAAAAAAATCCACCTCCTAAAATGTAGTAATCATTTAAATTCCTGGCTCTTAAGATTTGAAAACTAACACTATGTCCTGAGAAATGTAAACCTCCTCTCAAACCTTCAATGGTTTGTATGTGCTATATTCCATGATATTGCTTCCAAAGCTCAGTTTCACATTTTCACGGCTGTGCATACATGACAGACACGTACACATTCAATTGCAAATTGGCACAAACAAAAGTACAATTAAGAGATTCTACACACAGAGGCTCCGAGAGAGAATGTGCAAAGGCAGGTGCAGCATCTAATTACTGAAAAAAAGAATCAGTGTTTTCACACCTATCTCTACAGTCCTTTGAATTTAATGAAATATCTTAACCCATCTTTTGAGGATCTTAGGAAGGACAATACTCTTCTTGGTACCCCACACATTAGGGAAAAATGCAGCTCTCTTTTCTTTCCCTGCATTGTCTTAAAACCCTTAAATAAGCAGGATCCAAAGAGCTCAAATTATATTGACATAACTGCATGGGTCAAGGGCACAAAACCATGTTTCTGGGTCAACATTACAGGCAACATCTGGCAGAAAGGATTATGTAGGAGACACCCTTTTGAAACATGACATTCTGAGATTGTTAGTATGAGTCATTTTTTGAGCAATGACAGAACAGTCATACGAAATAAGAAGACGCTTGTGGGCCACTTAGTGGAAAAGATTGCGATCACCTTTCTCTTGTATAACAGGAGAAGGAGTTGGCTACAGGTTTATAGAGAACTTTGGGGCAAGAGAAAAAGGAACAAATGTCTGAGGGTTGAGAGCCATATGGGTGCAATATCTTTGGGATATCCCATCATATAATGAAAACTGAATGTAAGAAGAGCAAAACTTAGAGACATCTCAAAAAGCTGTTGCAGATGAAGGCTTTAAATATCTGCAATAAAAGACACAAGTGCACAGATTCAGTAACATGATGGAGAAGTTGTAACAGAAGCTTGACAGCATCATAAGGTACAGATTTAAAATTTTTATTAAAGTTAATGTTTAAGATTAAATATACACAAGTTAACTGGATAAATTCATGGAGGTTAATTCCATTATTGGCTATTAGCCAGGATGGGTAAGGAATGGTGTCCCTAGACTCTGTTTGTCAGAGGGTGGAGATGGATGGCAGGAGAGAGATCACTTGATCATTATCTGTTAGGTTCACTCCCTCTGGGGCACCTGGCATTGGCCACTGTCAGCAGACAGGATACTGGGCTAGATGGACCTTTGGTCTGACCCAGTACAGCCATCCTTATGTTCTTATGTTCTTAAGAGGGAAGGTACTGTACATCTGGGGTCCGGCTTGAGTTATGGGGGATTACAGGTATCAGTTACAAGGATCACGAGATACATACATATCACATAACCAGCACAGACCCAGATTGGAGTGCGGGGTTTTTAAAGCGTCAGTGGATAAGTGGGCTCAGGTACGCCACCCATGGAATGTATAAAGAGTCCAAGTCAGTATCAGTGTTGCGAATAAGTACATGGGTGGGGTACTTCACAGCAACCTGTACAATAATGGAGTTGTGTAAGGATGAGGGTGGAATCAAAAACCTGAGAACTTTCTAGTGTAAAGCAATTACAAATCTCAGGTTACAATACACAGTTAACATCATATTCCCATGTGATCCAAGTCTGATGATCTGTTGAGGGCAGTAACCTTGAAAGAAATAAAATCTGATGGTTTTTACATATATAGGTGTATATGTATGAAAAATAAAAACTTTTTTTCACTTTTCTCCTTGAAACTTTACTCAAAAATGATCCAAGCAAAGCTTAAATTTTTAAAGGGCTCAGATTTGTACCCCTGGTCTGGGCTACAAAAGATATCAACTGAAATATTTTAGGATCTAGCAGAAGGTGACTCTCGTATTCTTTATGTGACAAGATTGTTTCCTTCCATCAACCTCTGTCACAGTTGAAGATTACAAATGCCAGATCTGCCTTCACTCCTGACAGCTTCTACTACAGAAATAATGCTCCAGGCAGGAAATGGCCTCTTCCCCTCCACTTCCCCCCTTCGCTCCCCTCACACTCTCACAGGGTTCTTTTTCTTTCTTTTCATGTCTGTATATGTTCCAAGCGAAGGAAGAGCAGCAAGATGAGATTATTCTACACTGCTTGTAGGCATGAAAAAGAAATAAATCCTCAAATTTTTAATGAAATACAGTTTGTCATTAACCAGCTCTGCAATAGACAGAGTGTTTCAGTGGCCGTGCAACTGGCAATTCAATGAAATTTCTCAAGCATACTATATGTATAAAAATACAGTCATTCATGCCGTAATGCTTACAAATGTTACTTACTCTTACACCTTTAGGACCTGGGTTACCTTCTGGTCCAGCTAACCCCTAGTATAAAAAGACACAACTTTTACTTCATTTAAAATAAATGGAAATACTAGATTTAAAAGAATTATCACAATAATTGTTAATTTCCAAACTGGCAATGCACTTTTCATGATGGGTGCTATGTGAACCTCTAGACAGAGATTGCAACTTCCTTTATATTGAAGTTATTTCTTTTTGGAAAGTTCTTCCCAATCCAGTTGAAATCTTCTACCCAATTGTGAACTTGGCATTAAAATAACTTCATGGAACTTTTCATAAACTTTTATATTGGAATGCAGTTCCAGTCATTTTCTAGCCAACGTTAGAACAATAAGTTTATTTCAAATACTCAAAGCATTTTGTATTTTTAAATGTTGGCATGTTGTCATCCAGTCACTTTATAAACTATTTAATAATGCTTTTTAATATATAGCCACCGTAAAATTGGTCTAGTAAAATGTTGAAATAGTTTAGAGAGCGTGGGTCAAATTCAGCCCCTCAAGCAGGCACGACTCCATTGAAGTCAGTTGACAAATACAAGGACTGAATTTGGCTCATGCAGTTTAAATGTTAGGAAAAGTGACTGACATTTCCTCTTAATGCACCAACTGCTTATACTGAACTATCTATCTGTCCCAGGTATATAAAAATCAATATTACAAATGGCTTGCATTGATAGCAATTTGATGTTTTCATTGGTTCTCTCTCTCAATGAACTGAATGGAAAAAGCCCTTTAACATACTCTTTCCCCACATAAAAGTTAAAGAAAGAAATAGTTTCAGCAGTAAAAAAAATAAGTGTAGGCAAATAAGTAGGAATGGTACTAGAGCAGAATGCTTCCTGTTTCTTCTGAACATTAAATGCCAAAAGGTTGAAACAGACAGAGAGCAATGAAGGTTTTCAAAGGGGTGAATAGGGCTTATACATTCTGTAATTTGGTAACAAGGTATGTATGCACTAGAGGGATACAGAATTACTGTGTCTCACCCACTCAGGGCCCAGTACTAAGGGCACAATGCACCACATGACTTCCGTGTATGGTGCCTCTGAAAGGAGGCTTGTTTCGAGTATTAGTGATACAAGGTCAGCCAATGCAGTGATGCCATCAGCAGTGCCAGCAGATTTAGATAGGGTACTTTCAGAAATTACATCATTAATGCTACATGATGGCAGAGAATCCTTTTGCGGTAGATCAGTTTGTCAAAACACTCCTTGCTGACGAACAGGCCATGTGTACACCAGGCCTCACTTTGAAAATTAACCCCAAAGAGAGGAAGGGAAACATATTTTGAACTAATGTATAGTACTGAAAAGGTGCTTATAACAGGAAAACATATAATTCTTTTGTATAGTTACTGCACCTGCCTGCCAGGGTAACCAAGTGAACCAGCATTGCCAGCCATTCCCGGAATTCCCTACATTGAAAGTGAAAAAAAGTAATCAGGTTTAGTGTATTTTTACCTGTTGGTAACATGAAAGAGCTTTCTCCTAACACAAGACTGTTTCTTGTGTAATTTGCATAGGAAGCCCATAAAACCCACTTTTTATACATAATTAAAATCAGCATGATTACTTCCTGAGCAGTGGTGCACACATTGCAAAAGCATTTAGGATTGGGGGAGAGGGAGGGAATTAGTCCAAAATGAAGTGAAGTACAAGGGGAAAAAACACTGATTCATGACGGAAAACCCTTAGACAATGTTTGGCAAAATCAGGTATGCACAACGGGAGATGCCCTCAGGGGACAGGTATTTATGGTGCAGATAACACAAGCTGACACTGATCTTGGCCATATTATTAAGATTTACACTTTTATGGAACAAATGTACAAATGTAAGAAGAATCTGAATGTCCTTGTATATCTGAATTTCCTTATATTGGTCTCAATGTGGGTATGCTCGGATAAGGTTAGAGTAACAGTGGATTGATAATGGGTACAGTAAACTCTTTGTTTCCCCCTTCCTTCCCTCCCTAATCAAATCCAAAAGTGTTCCCCCCCCAATAAATTAGCCTAAGGTAGTAAAAATAACTATTGTGGGAAAGTATAGGCAGATTAAACTGTTTTTGCCTCAAATGTATTTAAAGGTAGTACAAACTCACATTGAGACTGAGGCTTTAATTTGCTTTACTGCTTCAAAATACTTCCTTTATGCCGCCCATAATTGAAAATGCATTGTTCCTAACTCCCTGGATTCCATGTTATGAAATGAAAGGCTCTGTCGCTTTTCAAAACCGAGCCTCGATATTTCAAAAATCCTTTTATATCCACACACCTAAAAAGTTACTTACAATGACATGGTCAAATCTATCTTCAGAGTTCTTGTTTATCTGGATTATTTTTCCCTTAAACACCCAAGTTTGAATATTAGCAATGCCCTATGTGAAATCTGAAAACAAGAGGGGATCATCCACACAGAATCTGAGCCCAGTGATGACTCTCCACATCTGGATCTGCCCATCCTAAACAAAGGGATCAACTGTACCCTGTCTCCACCAGCCATCCAGAGCATCCTTCATTGGGTGGGGAAACCATTATTGGGGATGGGGCCTAGCTGGGGCTGGAAAGGACATGCATCAGCAACCCAAACACCTTGGAGAATCCACCAAAGAAGAGATGTAAAAAGGCTGCAATAGCTTCGCCATATTTCCCATGCCCTGTATGAACCCACCTCATTGGGGATTCCATGGGTAGTCATTGGTAAATGAAGCCCTAGCCTTTCAACTTTGCAATGCCAGGGAGCTGGGCATCTAGGCCTGGGCTTCAGGACTGGTATTCATGGCGGTATCAGCCAATCTAGACTAACCTCTGTCTGGGGAAACTCATGTAGTTTTCCTGACCCAGTACCCACTCCTGCAATTTATCCGTTAGAGAAGCTGATTTGGCCCAACATTTCTGGACTGCAGGGCCCTTAGGAGGTCCATTCTCCATATCAACCAGGAAGAAAAACAAGAGGTGCCACTGGCCAAAAATATTAAAAGAGAAGAAAATCATGGCACAGGTGCTGGAGGAAGTGAAGCCCCTTGGGATTCTCCAATGATCAGCTTCTCCTCAAAAACCAGTACTAAGATTTGAAATGGGAAGAAGGTAAGAAGTTAGAATGTCACCACCTTTCCCTCCACCCCTGGCTCTCTCCTTAGCTAATTTTATGTTTAAACAAACCAAGTCCATAGGGCAGGCTTAGAGATTGTCCAACCTTTCCACCCATTGTCACATGTGGGAGTCACACTAATGCAAAATCAGAACTTCGTCCATGAGCTACATGCAGCTGATTTGAGTGAGGAAGAATAATCCCAGGCATTAGAAGTCATGAACGTTGGAAGCAAAATTTATTTTGCATAAGTGCTGTGCCTCCAAGATGGTTCTGCTTTCCATGCTTTCTTTCATCCTCTGGGCATATATGGGAGATTGATTATTCCCTGAATGGGTTGGTCTGCCATGGAACCAGGATCCAGGGTCTCCTAAAGCTTGAAACACTTCAGAGGGCTATGGATATTTTTGGCTGGATCAGGTCCCAAAAATTCCAAGTGCAGATCATGACAAAAAACCCAAAGAGCAACAAATCATTTTAATTTACTGTTTGTTCTTTTTAAAACCTTGCTTGCACTCCCAGTTGTGCTTCACTCTCAAGTAATTCCACATTTGATATATTAACAGTAACTTTTTTCTTTGCTGTAGAGGTTTATGGAAATTCCAGCCAACAAGTGGATACTTTGAACTTCACAGTCTGTTGCTACTGACATGCAAAATGACTATCATTGTCTTGACTCTTTCCAGGCCATCCTCTACAATTACGTATCTTCTTGTCACCATCCTTAAAATAGCAGCAGTAAGAACAGGCTGTGGAACAAAAGTATTTCCCCAAATTTTTATAAATGAGTTTTAAATATTTTGAAAATAATATAACAGACTATGAATAATATTATTTATAACCATAGTATGGGTATGTTGAGATGAGGTCAGACAGCCTTCAGTACTGCTGGGCAAACAGTAATTTCACATTGAGGTCTAATGTATCAGATTATATTCAAGAGAATTCACACACTTGCATATTTAGTGCCAAAATTCTCTCTCTCTCTCTCTCTCTCACACACACACACACACACGCACACACACAAAATTTACCCTCGTTTTCATTACTAGTTAATCACTTTTTCACAAGCTCCTACTTTGGTTCTCAGGTCCTGCAGTTAACAATGCTGTTCTTCTGAACAACTCTGATAATTAATTCTCTTGCAGAAAGATGCCAGAAGGCGAGGGACTGAACTATAACGACTGCCCTTCATTTGGTTTCTTGGAGTAGAGCTCAGTTAAAGTTTTGGACAGTTAAAATCTATTCTTGTATTTTTTGTTTTTGACTTTGCCTCTGGTCACTACTATCATTAGGTCATGATTATTCATTCAGCATTGACAGTGCATTCAGTACTGTATACAAAAGAGAAAAATTTGACTCCTGTTCCAAGGTTATTAGAGTTGACAGCCATGGCCCCTTATCTCTAGAAGGGAGAAGTAATAAGTGTCTACCTCTAACACTCACATGAAGGATATTTTAAGAAAGCAACACACAGTCCCTTCCCATCTCCCCGTCCAGAGATTAAGCATGCATTGTCAAGTCTCAGGGGTAAGGTTTTGAAAGAGTCTGAATTGCCTCCTAAAACATTACACAACACACTTCTTCCATGCCACCAGACTTGCTGGAGAAAACAAGTTGGTCTATTATGTTTTATCTAGGCCCTTAAACCATACTCATCTCCATCGCAACTAAGTACCTAGTTAAGAATGAAATCTATTGAGTATTTCTTCAACCAGTCAGCAATTGAAAGAAATTATTTGCTATAAGCATTTAAAGTCATTATCTTTAATTGTACTTAACATGCTTTGTACAATGTGTATCAACTGTTACAGTGCCTTCATCACTCACTTGCTCGCCTCGTGGACCTGGTGGCCCTGGATAGCCTTTGGGACCCTGCAGGTAGAAGAGATGAACAGATGTTGTAATGAATTCAGATATGCAAGATGCAGCTTTGGGGGTCTTGATTTCCCCCTCCCCGCTTTATATTTTTCTTCAGCAAAGAAGAATTTTGCAACCTCTCTTTCTCTGTGACATCCACATTGCTTAATTTCAGTAGCTGATGTGGTAGGAGGGAGAAAAAGAAACTTACCTTAGCATAGATGATTTCTAGCTATGCCTGCTAAACTTGCACCAGTCAGTAGTCACAGATTTGTGTAAGCTTAAGTAACACGTAGACAAAATGCCTTTAGCAACAATCTGCTTGTAATTATTGCAAAGCTGGATTTAGTCCAGACTGTTTCCTCATTCAAATCCTTGTCATAACACTATCTCTGAATGAGCCAGTTCAACTGAGATAGGCATAACAAGAAGATCATCACAGAGAGCGCCAAGAAGCTCTCTAGGAAAAGATAACTGTAAGAAAACAAAAGATTTCTTTCATATGGACTTAATTTTTTTAATGCTCCATATATGATGATGGTTTTGCACAAGTAAATGAAACTACCACCTTCCTGACACTAAATAAAGTCTTCCAGATTATCCTGGAATCTTTAAATCATCGAAGTTTATCATTGCCCCTCTTTATATTGAGCATTATGATGATGATGGTTTGCCTGTACAGATGGTGGCCCTGTCGAAGTCAAGAGGAATTCTGTCCATGATTTCAATAGGGCCAAGATTTAATCTGGTGCCCCAAGTTTCGGTTTGGTTTCTACACCATGCCAAGAGCTTTGTTACAACAAACTAAATGGCATTACCTCACATGAAATCATAAAAGAGGAATTTTGTTCAGTAATAGTTTTAGGTGATGACAAAAAAATCACATCTGTTTGCAAGCTTTGCAATTTTAGTATTATACACTTGCTTGGGAAATAACGTTAGTCCTAAGGACATGTGCTCATGTGCTCATTAAAAAACCCAGAGGCTCCATTTTCTCCAAACCAGTGTTGCAGGTATTCCCTTACATCTTGCTAAACACTCACACAGCATTGCTAACTTGCTTTAATGTTTAGCTATTACAATAAAACAAAGGCAAACAACAATCATCTGCAAATCACAAGCTGCAGAGCGTATTTCAACCATACATCTGAGTGTATCTACACAGTCCACAGAAGCGAGCCTCCCAGCCCAAGTCAACAGACTCAGGTTAGTGGGGCTCACGCTAGTGCTCTAAAGATAGCTGTGTAGACAGCATTTGAAGTTGCACTTCCACCCCCCTTTCCAGGCGTCAGAGCCTGAGGGCTTGTCTTCACTATGGGGGTAAGTTGACCTAAGCTACGCTATTTCAGTTATGTGAATAATGTAGCTGGAGTCGACGTAGCTTAGGTTGACTTCCCCCGGTGTCTTCTTTGGGAGTTGCGTTGACGGGAGACACTCTCTGGTTGACTTCCTTTAATCTTCTTGGGGAACTGGAGTACCAGGGCTGACCGGAGATCACTCTGCCATCGATATAGTGGGCCTTCACTAGACCCACTAAATTGATCCCTGCTGCATCGTTTGCAGCAGTGTTGATCTCCCCATAGTGAAGACCAGCCTTGAGCTCCAGCCAGAGCTGCACCTTTAAAGCACTGTCTACACAACTATTTTTAGAGCACTAGCCTGAGCCCCACTAGCCTGTGGCATAGGTATGAAACAAACAGGCTGAGAGGGACTGCCTAATTAACATGCCAAGGCATGCCTCAGAAATGCTGTTGGTAAGATCATTAAATAAAGACAAAAGCATGATTAATGACTGCAATGCAAACCTGGAGGGCAAAACAGTAACACTTCCTTAGGAATTGTGTGTAAAATTTTCAACAGCATCTTAAAAGGACATAAAATATTTAGAAGCCAAAGTCCCACTGTTTGATTTTCAATAGGATTTGGGTTCTAAGAGGTTTAAACATTTTTGAGAATAACCCTACTTCTGGGTTAGAATAGGTGCTTACAGAGGAAATGTTCAAATGTTTTATTATATCTGGACCAGGAAAAAAGGGAACTACATTTGTTTTGAGCTAAAAGGAAAGTGTGTGTAAAAAGAAAAGCTAATAATATTGGTAGATTGACTGGAGGATGAGGTACTCCCCAAATTCTAATGAAGACGCTCACATTTGGACTTCAAAGGCAAAAACAGAAATGGAAGGGCTTGAGCTCCTGATTACACCAGCACACCCACTTTATGGGCATGTTATTGACACTCAGAGTGCTTTGGTCTGTGAGAGAGAAAGGACTTTACAGCCAAATGAAGTAACTTAGCCTCTACTTTGTAAGGGGCCACGTTTAAGGAGCTGTTATTTACTATATGTTTGCACAGTGCTTAGCACAATGGAGCCTCAACTTTGCTAAGGCCTCTTGACATTATATCAATATAAATATTAAACAACAAAAACTTTGGGATCCCAACAGTGTTTTCCATTGTTTCCATAGTAATTCCAATAGCACAGGGTTGGGACAGTTGCTCGCTGGTTACAGCATCTAGATAGAACAGTAATGTTGCAGCCTCCCAAGAGAGACAGAGGAATGGGCAGGTAATTACAGGAATGGAGGGGGATTTGGTCTTCTCTGAACAGTGCCAAAGAAGAGTTGAAAAAAGCAATTGTGGGCATATGGCGAGCACAACAAGCTATACAACTGTAGGCGTTTTTACAGAAACCTTTGCCATGGGTGGCATGAGAACGAAGACCTGCTTTGCAAATAGAGCTAATACCAGCATTTAGATCTAAAGCAATATTAAAAACTTGCCACAAGTCAACATGTAAATGGAAAAGTTGAAACAGCTGGACAGTCATTTTCCAAAATGTTGAGAAGGTCAAAGAACAACGCAGCAATATAGATGAATGGCATACATGACACAATATCATTCTTATTCCTCTATGACAAATACTGTATGGACTAAAAGTGGCATAAAATTAATCCTATGTCAGCATAATGACGGGAACAAAAATGTAAGGGAAATAAGCTCATCCCTTTCTTGCTACTCTCTCATGACTGCAATCCTGTGGTCCTCTTCTGAGGCTGGATCAGACTCATAACCCATAACCCACAAACACCACAAGACACAATGTACTTATCAACTCCACATTTTCACCATCTGACACAGTTTTGAAATGCTTATTTGGTCTCCATGCACCCTCAGATTAGAAATGTGTTTGGCTTCTTTGTAGATCCACTGTTTCTTATCTGTGCGGCGTGTAAATAATATAAATCAGGGTCTCTGGCTAGCATGTGCTACCTGTAATATTCTAATGACAGAAGGCTTCACCCTCACTCCATCACTGGTTTTTTTGTTTGTTTGTTTGTTTTTTACACAGCCTGGTGTCAGGTATGTCTACACAGTGCATTAGTCTCCCAAGAGGGGTGTTCATTCTAATGTGCACTAGTGAGTTATGCACTAACTGGCCTATGTGGACCCTGCTGACATGCACTAAAAGTTCCCTAGTGCACATTAATGTAGGCCTTTTTCAAACAGTACTGTAGTAACATGCACTAGGGAACTTTTAGTTAACTCCAGCAGGATCCACATGGGCCAGTTAGTGTGAACGATTATCCGAAGAAGTGAGGTTTTTACCCATGAAAGCTTATGCCCAAATAAATCTGTTAGTCTTTAAGGTGCCACCAGACTCCTTGTTGTTTTTGTAGATACAGACTAACACGGCTACTCCCTGATATAGTGCACAGTAGAATTGATACCCCTGTAGTGGGTGGTGAAGCCCTTAGATTCTCAAACTCCCAGGGTTCAATATTTCAAGTGTAAAAATAAATATTTACTTCCTTTAAAAAAATAGGCCGGTGTCTCGTCTTATCGGTTTAAATCAGGAGTAACGGCATTGAAGTCCTGGTGCCGGGGGAGAGTCGGTCTTTGTGTCTCCAATGGATGAGGCTATTCTAAGGATCCCATCATGCCTAGAATCACACTGCCTCCAAATAGTTGCTTTTCAATACCGCTGAAGACTCCTGCATGGATTCTGCAGGCAAGTTCTACATGTAGGAGGTCTTCTTTCAGGTCTAACTATTAAAATAATGCTGTTATGCTTCCGTTTGTAGGACTTATTAAAGGAAAATGTCCATGATTACTCAACATTTTGGAAACCTTCAATCCTGAATTGAAACCAATGGGAGTGTCTACTTTAACAAGTATTAATATGGGATTTTACAACAATATGCCAAAATTGATTCCATAGAAGCTTGTATCTTTCCTGATCAGTCAGGAAACTCAATTAACTGAGATGGAAAGAGTTCCTTGCTCATTGATATCAATGAGGAAAGCATTAATGTTTTTCGGTGGCAATGAAGTTTGGTTTGAAATCTTTTGTCTGTTTGTTTGCTACATTTGATAGTTAGATGTACGTTTTGTACAACAATAATGTACACCCTGAGAACGAGTGCTCATGTGAGAGCCTTTCCCCTTTACATGCTTTGCAGGAATGGGAAAGAGTATGAAAGGAGGGGTTTCTTCTCTTTGCGGTCTAACTCCACAGTTAATCTAAGGCTTCATCTACATTAAAGTTTTGCCTAGCTGTGTTGGCTCGGAGCATTACAAAATAATCATACCCCCCGCCAACATAGCTATGCCTGCAAAACCCCCCAGTGTAGACACAACTATGCAAACAGAAGGATGCTTTTGTTACATAGCTAATGTCATTTGGGGAGGTGATGCAGCTATACTGTCAGAAGAATTCCTTTTGCTGACAGACACTGTCTCTCTACTATGGTGCTTTGCTTAGCCATGCTGGCACAGCTCTACCAGCAAAGGCTCTGCAGTGTAGACAAGCCCTGGCACTAATATGAAAGGTAAGTATCTGGCTCTTTATATTACTGCTGCAACCAGACCTTCACTTTAATGTGGAACCAGCAAGGAATCTAACAAGGGCAGCAGGCCTAATATTGCTGTCACACGACTTTTACACTAATGTAATTCTGTTAGCTTTAATGGTGTCGATCCTGATTTATAAATGGTGTAAAGGAGGGAAGAATCAGGTCCAGTGTATCTAGTAGGGAGGAGCAATCAAAAGCTAATTTACTTGGTTACCGTAGCAACTTTCAGTGAAAGTTTTAGAGTTGTTATAATGAAGAAAGAAGCTTCTCCCTCTCCTCCCTGCCTAGCCCAGGTGCTGAAGGGCAAGAAACAGAGGTAGGAGAAAATGTACTGTTACTTAGGGAGAGGTGATCCACATTATTTATCTTCACATGTAAATCCCAGATCCTGTCTGCTTGGTAAATAATAAGACCAGTTTAAGGCAAAAGTACATTTATGCCATATCAACATATTCTATCTTTAACACATATGAAAACTTACCTAAAACAGCATTCAAAGGAGAGTGCTTTTCCCTTTGAAAGCAATGGAAGAATTTCTCTCATTTAATCAAACTTCATTCTTATTCTAGGAAAATAGCACTCTCTGTGAAATAAACTCAGCCACTCACTACCATAGAAATATAGAAATTTCCCACAGATATTTATTATTTGTTCACCAACATATTATGAACTCTCCTGCTACTGCTCCTCTTTTTTGTATGGATGCTTCAAACAAACATACCAGACCTCAGAGGACTGACAACGATACAACACTCCGTTCTTGTTCACAGGTCTAAATTTGGAGTAACCATACTGACTTCATTACAGTTACTCTGGATTTGCACAGGTGTAATTGGGCAAAAATTGGCCCTGCATAATAAACATGTTGCAGGCAGTAGAAATATGTAGTCAATGGCAACGCAATAAACGATTAAGACAAGGACACACACTCACAGATGTTGGGTACTGTACTGGATTACCATAGAATAGTGCAGCATTTTTTAAAGAGATTCCCTCAAGGAAACTCTACTAACAGTCTCTCATTTCTACTAATCTCTTCCCCATCTGTGCTAAATTCAGACACTCAGGAAACCAGAACCAAGAGCACGTAGCACATGACTAATCACAAACCATATCCATTCAAAAAATAAAAATTTAATATGAATATAGACCCCAAAATTTTCACAATCATTGTAACAGTGCACACTATTGCATAAGTACTGCACATAATTTCACAAAAGTTCCAAATCAGGCAAATTTTGATGAAAAAAAATCTTATTATTTTATTCACAATTTTGAGCAGGTCTAATTATGTCCAGGAGAGGGCAGTAGTAGGCATTATGCAGCCAGTATGTTACCAATGAAATATTCAATTCCACCATTAAAATTAAGGGACAATGACTGTTTAAATCCCCAATGCTACTTTGAAAGTGTCAGCCTGAATTCTTCAGGAAAACAACTAAGGTCAATGGGAAAAGGGCAATTATCAAGAAATGGGCATAAATAAATTGGTATTATTCTACCTAAAAGAGAGACCTGAAATAGTGCAAGAGCTACTCCACATTAAAACTTATGTCACAGTTTAAATGCTGATCATTTTACTGCAGATCAATCTAAAGGAAGATAAAAATCAGAACCAGCTGCCAAAATCAAACAGGACTTAGGAAGCAATGAATTTATGGATTTTTTTGTGTTCTTTATAGTTATGTGTTAAAAGAATTATGTTACTCATTTATACACACTTCAGCAGTTCCCCAACAGCATTTAACAAAATCAAATGTGAAGTAACAAAAGAGAATGTTTTTTTCCCCCAAGGATTTCCCTGTTTTCCCTGGATTATTGCACAATTTGCACACACAACTCTGAAATGACTTTCCAAAATGAAAACAAGCTACCAACTCAACTGAAGTCTGAAAATACATTCATCGTCTTGGGTATATCTGGTAATGATATGGAAAGATCAAGCATCTTAAAACTGCACAGCTTGGACCTAGGTCCATTAAACATCAAGCATAAAATACTCTTTAGTATTTACAGGTGTAACATAATTCATGGACTCAGTGATTTTACAAGATTAGTTCAGACTGGAGTTTTCTGAAACGGGGTTCCAGTTAGTGTCTACTCTCTACATGACATGGAAACAAAGAGTAAAAGTGCCAATGATCAAATGAACACCATCACCACTAGCTTGTATTGTAGACATAGCCTAACATGATTTTATTGAAAATTAAGTAGAAACTGCTTTGCTTTTCCAAGCAAAACTGTGAACCTGACAATATAGTAAAGCAGTATATGTTTTGGGACTCAGAAGATGCCACAGCTCTGCTGGTGACAATTGGTGATAACAAGCAGGCTACCAGATAAATCTCCAACTTGGATAAGAACAGGTGCTGCTGGAGGGGAATTTTCCCACAAAAGAAATGAAAATTTTAGTCAGGCCTTTAAAATTGGATTAATTTTGTTAAATCCCAGAAGGTTTGTGGACAAGCGAAATACATTTCCTAGGAGCTTTTAAACTAATTTTGTAACTTCTTCCTTTTTTGGGTTACAAAGAGTAAATTTATGCTTTTGGTCAACACAAGAGAAGTGAATTAAACCAAATCAAATTTAGGCCACTTTAATTCTGAATGAAAGTGTCCATACAGGGGTTTAATGAAGTTTAACTAATCCACTTTAAATTCACATCTTTAGTTAATTCACATTAATTTTCCCTGAGTGGCCCTGTATGGACAAGCCCTCTTGACTTCCTACCCATTACTGAACCCAATTAAACAATATTTTGGTGGTTTTCAAAATAATTTATAAATTCATTCCACCCTTCTTCTCCAGCTTTATGTCTATGTACTCTCCGTATTACTCGCTCCACTCCTACAATCTTGGCATCCCTTTTGTCCCCTTTCCTGAATACTTCTATGCTTGCCTCATGCTGTCCCACGCTAATGGACTGTTAAGGCCTGGGTAGTTTCCTAAATGGAGTATGGGGTTTTTATTTCTTACAGTGCTTTGACATTTCTCCTAGTGAAGAAATAATTACTGTGAATATTAGGTGGCTTCCAAAATCTAAAACTTATTTCACTTGGCTTCAAGGCAAGAGTTTAAGCTGCTCTGACACATATCTTTGAAAAACATCCAATTTTGTGGTGCTGAAAGATTGAGCTCCATTGCTAACACTGAATGAATTAACACATGATTCAGTGAACGAATTAATGAATAGAAAAGAGGTGGGCAGTCCTGAAACTGAGAATAAAGTGGGATTCATTCATTTAAAATATCAGTATCTTCCAGGCAGGAGTATATTTATTGAAGCTTGAAGGAGCTCACAACACCAGAGCAGAAACATAACAAGCTTTACGGAGTAGCACACCATTTGGGAGTTATCATAAAAAACTTTTAATTTACATTTTGCTCACTACATTTTCAATTAATTTAGTACTCAGGAAAGGCTCTGGATGGACCACATAGGGTCCGAAGTCTTATACTTAGCCACAGTATGGACAGTGGCAGTACATGTGCTATAGCCTCACTTAGCTCAAGGCTCCTGAGTTTCAGACAGATTTCATACTGGCCCTACCTAGATCAGACAAGCAGTGGAAGGGAAGATTTCAGCATGTACCATCTTCTTTTGCCAATGGCAGAGTGTGCACTGAACCTAGAAGTATTGCTTAAATGGGAGTGTGAACAGGCTGACATGGATGTGCATTTCAGCTATGCTTCCACTACTGGCTAACAGGGAACACTGCTGCTGACTTCCCATCCACTTCATGATATTAAAGATGGAACTTTTGAAGTAGGTAGGGGGCAATGGTAAGAGGATGTTGGGGCTTGTTGTGGGATAGGTTGAGCTTTTTCCTACACAGATTGGCTTGCTATGGAGCTCTGTAACTTGCATAGCTTGGGAGAATCTGTTATTTTCCAGGCTGGGCCCATCCTGAAAAAGAGGCACATGCAGTATATGATCTGTGGCTCAGATTCAGTCCTGCATGTTGGGTTTTGATAGCTGAGGTAAGGAATTTCCAAAGACAGACTAAGCAGCTCAAACTTGGAGGGCCCAATTATGCAGACCCCCCACTGATTTCTGGTGGACTTACACTCGAGAGCTGAATATAAAAATTAAAAGAAAATCTTACCTTCTGACCTTTGATACCAGGAGGGCCTAGTAAGCCTCTTGGACCTGGGTCACCCTGTACAACACAGTAAGGTAAAATCATTTCATTTTATTATCACATTTGAAAAGACTATAAACACCTGGGAAGCAGTACATTCACTTTATCCCTGGACATTTAAAATGGAATCGACAGAACAACAACATTTATTTCAGAATCTCAGAATATCTACATTTTAGCCAGCTTAAGTAGGACTGAAGTGGTTACACAGGTCTGGTGTTGGCATTTACCCAGAGGTGAATTTCACTCCAAGTGAGTAGTTTTAAATTATTTCTTAACTTTCAATTTGTTCATATCAGATCGATTTCCCCAATATTACATGTTTCTTGCACTGGAAAAAAAATGACTGCCACGTTTAGTTTCCATACAAACTGCAAGTAACAAACAAAACAAAAAGGTTGTTTGTGAGAAGTATTCCAAATATTTTCTAAATGTAAATGTCATTAAATCTGTTTGAAAACAGTAAACTGGCAAATTTTTTCATTCAGCACAATGGGCCAAAGTCAGAGGTAGTGTAGGCTGTGTACATTTAGACTCACTTCGACTGTGCTGTAGCATGACAGTGTAACCCCACGGTGCAGTTGCAGCCTACAGTGACAAAAGGGGGTTTTCCATCACTGCAGAAACACCACCCTGAGCAACAGCAGGTAAGTTGACGGAAGTATTCTTCCATCAGTCTAGCAGCATCTACACCAGGGCTTAGGCTGGCATAGCTATGGTGCTTAGGGGCTTGGATTTTTCACACTCTGGAATGCCATTGCTATGTTGACATAAATTTTAAATGTAGACCAGGCCTACATTTGTGTAACATGCAAGTGGAAGGACCAAATGGAGGCATACACATTTCACCAAATGAATCGATCTCTAAACACGCTTAGTCTCACTTCTGAATTTAGCCTTGCCTTTGATAGGCAGCTCTTTAAAATGAAACTCTAAATATACACTATGAAATAAGCATGCTAATTAAACTCTCAATATGAGCACATTGGTTTTAAAGTGTCAGCCATAATTAGTAGGTGTGCAATTCAAAAGTAAACTGTAATCATAAACCTCCAAGCCATAGCTTCCATGAAGAACCACTCTGTATTTTTATACTGAAAATCATTTTGGAAAGACAAAATAACCAACTAATTTAACTATAGGAGCTTACTCTTGGAATCCACTTTAAGGTGAAGTGGAGGACAGAATCTTTGATTTCTTAGCATTAAGAGAGTTCTTAATGAATATAGCTGAATAGGGCTGAAAGATCCTTTGTGAATAAACCAATGATGAAGACACAGTATTTCTGGAATGGGACTTCTGCTTCCCCAAGGTTACATAGCAGTGACTGCATTGTTTCCCAGTGCAATTAAATTCCTTAATATGCAGTTATAATCTGAAAAGTGACTGTTAATAGGACACGGCTGTAATTGTGTCCACAGTCATTGTCTCTCGATTACTTCTTGAACCAGTTTGTTCCATTCGCAAATAAAAACATGTTTTTCTAACAGTCCTTCAGTTCAGCTTGACTTGTTGATTCTAGTTTGGATTTTTTCTGGCTTGGGCACCATCACCAAAGTCATCAAGATTCTTTGGGCCAAACTCTGCTCTTAGCCACATCTGTGCAAGCCAGTTGCAACTTAGATAACAATTATGTTTATGATGTGTGAACTGGAATAGAATTCTGACCATTCTCTCAAAGTTGTGTTGGGTCAAGAGGGTTAGAAAGAGGGGCGGGGGGGGGAAGCTTATTTTTAATCACTAAAGTCAGCAGGTAAGATCCTGAATAAGCACAGGAAGCAGATCTGCTGACTCAGAAGGTGTCATTTTTATAATCTTTTTTCAAAGCAGAGCTTTGCTCTGGATCGGATTCTTCTGTCACTTACACCTGCCGCACACAAGGGTAGCTATTGATTTAAAAAGAGTCACTTCTGATTTACACCAGTGTAAGTGAGATCAGGATCAGGCTCTTTATTTTCAAGTACAGAATGGTTTACCTTTTTTTTTTTTTGGAGAGAAGACAGTGACATGGGTGAGAGTTGAACAGAACAATGTGACTGTGTGCAAATTCATCAAAATACTATAAAGAGACAGCATCAAACTGAAGTCTAGTAAGTTTAAAAAAATAAGTTAAAGATCATTTCAGGGACTATACCTACT